AGCATTGAATTTACTATGTTAATTAACTTAACTTATATTTCAGAAAAATGACGAGTCAATTACCACACTGTGACATTTACACTCTTCGTGATATTTTCAAACCAGCTACTGTTTGGTGTTCTGAATGTGATGAGTCAGAAAACTCGTATATTGCATTCCTGGAAAACAACCCAGAATCTATACAGTTTGAGCTGCAGTTTGTCCCTTCAAGTAATTTGAACATCATCCTTGACTTCGGAACAATCAACGCATTGTCAAAGGCATTAAGCATTAGGTTGGATCAAGATAACAAGGCTCAAATTTCCATCAGAAATTCCAGCCGTCAGAGACATTGATACAATCTCTCTTAAGAAAAGAGGCCGTGGTAAAGTAATTGAAGTTCTTGACTTCTTACCTAATGACACTTACCTTGTTCGTGTTGGTAAACAGCTTTATCGATTTTCAACATCGGGTAAATTAATAAATCAATACGACATGCTTTGGGAATCGAAACATGCAATACATATTGATGATCAAAATATAGTTGTCTTATTTAGTAACACAAACAAGATGTGCATTTACAATATGACGACTAAAACAATGAAAAGTGTAAATAAATGTGTAACAAATGATGTTAAATCAAATATAGTATTAAATGACAATTAGCTTTTTATATCTCTTCTGGATACATGGGAAATGTGATGAAAATTGTCAATATTTCAGACCAATCAATATCGTCTCATGATTGCAGAATTTGTTCTAAAACGGCACACATTTCAAAATTTAAGGACATGCACATTTATTATTCTAATGGTAGGACAGTTACTTGCTGTGATATAAAGGGCAATGTAATATGGGAAAAAACAGACCCCCTTCTTACAAAACCCGCCGGTATATGTTGTGATAGTAATGGTGTTGTTTACGTTGTCGATGTCGAAGTAGAACTACTCTTTGGATTTTCCCCTGATGGTAAAAGAGTGAAAGTACTTCTGGACAAATCCGCTGGACTTAAACGTCCATACTCAGTTAGAATAGGGTCAAACAAAACCCAAATCATTATAAATTGAAATAAGGAGAGGTATCGTTATAAAATCGTATGACAAATTTAGTTTCTTTGTTATGTTTTGCTCATTCAACATTTCTAAATATGTGTGTACACTTTGAATAGACTAGTTAACAGTTGTATTCTTGTTAGACACTACAATCGAGCAAAGTTAGTCAACATATATGAAATGGGTTTTTCACAAATATATGTGCATGTATAGTACTATGTAAAGTTATTAAAACTAGATTGACCTTTGCAATTGTCTTTCTTTTTATAATTAGTGAACACTAGGATTCTGATAAAGTATTAATTATGTCCTTCTGAAATCATTTCTGTGTATCACTTCAAATGTCCTTTGAAAAAATCATACAACAAGTACGGCTATTTTTTTCTCTTGCTAACTGAAATGTGAAAAATGGTAGGTCATAATAATGGACAGGTTATATCACCTGTTGTTCTTATTCATTAATGTCACGCAATAAAGGTCGTTAAACAAAACTAGTATCGAACAGTATTTTCAAAGAACGAACAACAGATGAGAAAAAAAACCTAAGTTAACAATATCAGTTTTGTCCTTTTTTTTAACCCAAACCTTTTCCTTTACCTGTTTATCCTTATCTGTGGAACATTGGAATATCGATTTGGTTTACAACACAGCGCAGACTTTTGCCAAGATGTGAAATATAAAATGTTTCACTAGCAAAGGAATCGATTGATGGCGAGAATATTTATGAAATTGTTAATGAACATATACATGATATATGATAGGAATTTTTAAACAAATAATAAAGTACAAGGGAGAGAGTCAATGTTCATTTTATTTTACAACTAGGTTGGTTTTTTTCAAATATCATAATTAATAGGCGAGTGACATTTATAAAAAAAGACGCTTAGTTAACGACTTTAATGAACCCACCTAACATACAGCTATGTTATATATCATTTGAAAGCTAATTATCTGTACTTTCTGTTTGCCCGGTCGTCAATAATTCGTACGGTGCATTTTTTGTTAAATCCAAATCAAAGGTCAAGAATGAACATTCCTACATTTTTGAAAGAATCAACGTAGAACAACAAAAAAGCTATCTTTTTGCAGATGGTGGTATTTTGGGCAACTGCAAGGATTGTTATAATTGGCTGTTTTATTAGCAGGAAGCGTGCTTGCAGTAATGTGATGATGTCAAAAATTTCCTTAGCACTAAATGAAATATGTTATTTCGTTTTATGATGATTAACAATTAAATCACTAATTTTTATCATTTTCACTAGAAGTACTGTAAAAAGGCGTTTTTATTACAAATACGTCATTAATATTTTCAAGTGAGTTTTACAAATGAGTAATAGTCCCTGTTCTAAAAGTTTTTCATATTTCATACATAAATTTATTATTTAAAAGACAGAATATGCAAAAATGCAAAAAGGATAGTACATATGATATGCTTTCGAATGGTATATGATTTAGCCGTATGTTTGGTGGGTGCATTAAAAATGAAATCCTATGGTTGATGTCATTCGACTATAAGTAAATACTAGTATTGTAGTTTACATAGGGGGTTTCGAACCTCTCATTTACGCATTAACTTTCAGTAATCAGATATAGGGCCATTCTAGTAAAGCGTACGAACATTTTTATATACATTTATTCTTTCCATGACAGCTTATTGGATTGGTGCAATAGATTTCGAAACGGCAGGTGTTTGGAAATGGGATACTAGTCAGACGGTGAATACAGTAACTGACTGATCCCCGGATCAGCCAGATAACTATCTTGTGAATCAGGATTGTGTGTAAATTATGAAGGCAGAAGGGTACACATGGGATGATCAACCTATATGAAGGTATGAGAGGTTTCATTTGTTAAATACCGTCATTTTTGTAGGATGTTCAATATTTTGAAAATAATTTATTTATGATTAAAGAATCAAGGAACGGTGAATTTTGATCGCCAACAGTTTTTTTTTTATTGTAAATAAAATACTGAAATAGCACTTATCTTGTGTTTATAAAAACTTTTTTCAGAGATAATAACAACTAGAAAATACGGTAAAACAAAATGTATATAATGGTTACTCTAAGGACCAGGGAAATCTTGTCTGATATTTTTTATATGGCATTGTAAGTTTGTTTTCGAATCATATGTTAAAATATTCCTTTGGTATCTTTCGCCTCTATTTCAAAAGGATCTGTTATCAACTTCAAATTCTTTAAACTATCAAAAAACACATGCGAAAAATATCAAAGGGATATTCAAACTCACAAGTTGAAAACGAATTGCCCATGACATGGCAAAGAAACGAACAGCGACGAAACGACACACAACAGTACATAGAACACAGCATAGACAAGTAATTACTAAGCAACACGAACCACGCTAGAAACCGGGGCGATCTCAGGTGATCCGGCAGAACAAGATCCTGCTCCACATGTGACATTCGTCGTGTTGCTCATGCAAGTACAAACCCCGTTTCTAAGTCTAATTAGGTAGGTCACATTCGATGAAAAGAGGACGAGATTGTGGTTACAGCAATTTGAACATACCCGTCGTCATATGTGAAACAGATAACGATCAGCCAACTCGTGATTGGATAAAGACATTACTTGATACAACACAACTACTGCCGAGATAGATGAAGGGTGTTCTCGTTTTCATGTTTGTGTTTACTAATCTAAATCCAAGAGAAATTATGTCGACACAATCTGTTTGATTAATTGTCCTTTAGTCGATGGTTTCTCATTGAAAATCATCTCCTTATTTCAAAGCTTATTTACAGTGCGTTTCTTTAATTGTGTTTTCGTCAAAAAGATGAATAGATACTGAAAAAAACTAAGGGAAAATAAGTTTTTTATCAGTAACATACATTGTATCAGCAAACAGATATTTAATCAACCGATTGAACAGCACGCCACTACATTGTTTTTGTTCTTTTAGTTTCCTTTTCGGTTTTTTTTTTAAAGTTCAACAGACATTATTTATTTATATATTACGTTTAATTGAATAATTAGAAAATTAAAATAATTCATTAACTTCGCTTCATTTTTAGGAAATACAGGGCCAAATAAAATAAATGTGTACATGTTCTTCGTTATAGCGGGCTCTACACACGCGCGAAGAATATTATGTTGATGCAATTCATACAACTACGATTTATATCATAAAAATTGTTCTTACAAAATATTAAAATTCCGTACTACTAAGATTTACTTAAATAGACAATAATTATCATTTTTCAACGAATTTTATTGAATACAATTATTATAACTTCAAAGCGGTCTCACATTCTAGATTACTAGAAACATTGTCTGAAACTTGTACTTCTAACACAATTACATTATTTGCAAGGTATTTGACGAGTACATTTTCCAGTAAAGGTGATCTAAAATGTAAAAAACACAAATTTTGATAAAATAGCAAAGTAGATGTTGGCAATAGTGGAGCTATTTAAAATAAAAAGCAGTTTTCAAATCCTGTTATGTTTACATTAAATGAAGAAAAAAAAAATACCAAGATCAGAAATTCCTATAATATGAACATGAATACAGAAACTGTTTATTTTTTTCGAGCAGTAGTTCATTAAAGGTGACTGTAAAAAAAAGGATCTTTTCTTTTTAGTATCGGGTGTTTGTTTGTCTTGTTTTTTTTTTTTTTTTTTTTTTATTTTCTTAATAGGAATATTATCATGTGGTTGTTCTATTTTGATTTGTTTGTTGATACTTTTACCTCGACACTCTTGAAAAACTTATAGCCATTTTATTTATCTAAATTAAAAATATATTAAAAGACAAAATCAATATCTAGTCTCATAAAACTTAAAACTGGTCAAAATCAGCATAATACAAATCTATATGATGTGTTGAAGGAATAACAAAAAGATGCAAAGGGCCGATTAAAATTAAAAATACAAGCGCATAATCAGTTTTATAAAATTACGTTGCTGTATTTCAGTGGAAGGGTTCAAAGTCGCACATTTATTTATACTTACGAGTTTTTCACAATTAACAATGTTTCATCCAATCCATCTTTCTTCATAGTAAGATAGCAGTGGGTTAACAAAAGATAGTGATCGTAGTGGTCCTCATTTACAGCTATTCTGTACACAAATTTCCCGCTGAACTGTTTGTCGTCCGTTTGTGTCAGTTCAGAATCATAGTACAGGTCGACATGAAATAAACTTTTTTCAGAGCCATTTGCTGTAAGTATTTAATATTTGTGTTAATATTTCAACATACCAAAGCGGATTATGCATTATTAAATGTATTGACGAGTTTAATTTGACATTCAAATCAAGATGATAATATTTTGATGTGCTATGTATTAGAACCTTGTTTGTACCAAACTGAATCACTATTTTGGAGTTTTTAAAGTGTTAGTTCAAAAGGTAACAGTTCACAGGAAGTCATGTAAGTCGTTGTTCCTTTGTTTTTTTGGGGTTTTTTTTTGGCTGTGCTGATTGTGTTATGGATGGATACCCCATATCCTTTCTTTTCTAATATATGGAAAATGCATGGGGAAAAAATATGTTCAAATCGTTAAATACTACCGATTGATCATAAAAAGGTACCGTCTAAGTTTCGGAACATTTCATATGGTCTGACAAAGTTAATGATGTCTGACAAATTTTTGTTCCAGAGTGATCTAAATGTTAACTACAAAAATCAGTAAATTCCGGAAAAGTGGAACAAAACTTCAAAATGTGTCCTTTACTCATAAACAGCTACTGTCCAAGTTCCTTAAAAATCCAGTCAAAATTTTGACAAAGTTTTTGATGTCTTGAAATATTTAAAGCACATAAGGAACTCAAATCAATACGCCTCTAACATCGACGCCGCCACCTGATGACGAAATATAGGATAGTTTTTTCTCGACAAAAAGTAAACGTAACTATGACATCGTAGAAGAGTACTTTGTTGGGAAAAAAAGGGGGGGGGGGGGGGGGTAGTTAATAAAATAGATAAATAAATAAGTAAATAAATAAAAAGAGCTTTTCAAATTGATGTGTTAGATCGATTGATTATTGGTTACGATATTGCAGAATAATCTATTTTTTTTATTCGAGCGTCACTGATGAGTCTTTTGTAATTGAAACGCGCGTCTGGTGTACACAATTGTACTCTTGCTATCGATGTTATAGAAAAACTGAAAGCTCTTTTGAAGATATTGTAAACATTCTTACCGTTGTCATCATCTAATTCTAAATTTCCATCGATCTGATGGTAATGAAGGATTCTGTCGTCCTTAAAAAGTTTACACTCTAAAGGAATGTCATGTGTAACACCCTCTGATATAAATGTTATGTTGTTTTGATAAGTAATGTAGAAATGGGATATCTGAAAGAAGGAAGGCCAATATCATCATTTTCTTAAGATAGTCCTTGTACTTTTTAAAAAACTATGTTTTAACTACAATTTATTAAGAATTTATGAATTGAAGATAATCCTCCAAATGGCCAGTGATATTGCTTGTATTATTTAAAAAATATACATAACCAATATTATAAAATATCTCAACTTATGCATAAATTTTTAAGTGCAAAATGCTTGACTTACTGAATTGTTATATGTATTGATCAGATCTCTACATTGTATACAATCAAACGTTTAGCAACGGGGATTAAAAAATGTCTTCTGAGTTGATTTTTTTTTCTTATGCACTATAAAACAATATAATAACTATACATCATCTTTTCCAGTAAAATTGGCTTAAAGTGATAATAAGAAGATAATTTTTTTATGATTCAAATAACTATGTAACATTTCACCGATCTATTATATTTCTGAATGCAGAGCACACGCCCTTTTGAAATGATTTTCATATGGTACATCCGAAGTCAAACCCGTTATAAGGCATAACACATTTAAAAAAAAGTATAGTTTTGCAAAATAAGGTGCCAAAGATGTAGAATGAGACAACTATCCAACAGAGTTAGCCGTGTAATCTCATTTCCGAACAATTACAACCCATAAGGGTGACTGGGGAATAGAAACATGGTCAAAGCAGGTCTTCTTCCGACCGGCAATAAAACCCTTGTCAAAGTGGGGCGTCCGTTTGGATGTGTGGGATGTACAAGTACGCAGCCATGTCCGGTCAGAATGGGAACGTTAAATCCGATACCTTGTGTACAGAGAGAGAAAGTGTGCCACGCTCTTTGTTAAGAACCCTTGCAATAACTCTTCGAGGGATCCGTATGTGGCCTGTTACATGTCTGTGCCAATCCAATCTTCCCACAATTTTCCAGTGGCAGTCTAAATTTCCAAGACCTTCATCCCGGACTACCTCTAATACAGGACCTACCTATTAGTATTTTATTTATTGTTACATACGTCCTGAACATGCATGAAATGTTTGACACTGGACGTTAAGCAACCAACAACCAATCAATCAATCAATCAATAATTACATAACTTGATTTACAAACTGAATGTTTTCAATAACAACCCATTACTAAATCCTGTTTAAATTGGATATGGAATTTGAGCGGAGAGTTTCCTTGGCAACTGACAGACCACTAACAACGGTACCGACAAGTTTCAGAGATGAAAATATGCTTGTTTTGTATGCATGTCTTGAATAATTATCAACCGTCTAAAGGTAAATATGTGTATTCCACGGGAGAGGAGATACACATTTTAAGTTTGAGTGATGAAAAGAAAGCATGGTCATGTAATTTTCTACACTTTGGCAATACATTGCACGGAATGTCAGCACAAGTATAGGACGATAATATCAAAGGAACAGTAACCAAAGAACACAAGAAATCTCAAATACATAAAGAAGTTTGGTTATATTGCCTAAAATAAGTTATATATATTATTTACTTTTCGTAGAATTTGTTGTAGCGAGTGTCTCTGCTCTAAATGATAATCAAATACTATATACATGATACACATTATGAGAATTTTGCGCGCATTTATTCGTGTCGAAGAGAACTAAGAAATTTAACAGGCCAATCGAAAACTGTGAATTGTAAATTGAATACAATTTTGCTTTGTAATGTCCCGAACTAAGTGCGACAAACAACGTTTAAAAAAACTAGGATTGCGCCACACGAAAGCCAACAAAAGTGATTGCAATCTTGTCCCTACTTCGCTTGTTTGTCCTTCTTGATTACTCTGTTAAATCCTTCGATGAAAGATGTTCGGTAATAAGTCACGCTCATTACTTAACCATTAAACACTTACCAATACCAACAACAAGCACGCTTTGATTCTTTTACACAAGAAACCTATTTGATAACGGAATTAAACATTTTAAAATTGGCACGTATTTTTGTTCTGATAAAGAATAGACTTGGTCGTTGCCAAAAGAAGAAGGTGCTTTATATGGGTACGCAAAGTTTATTTTATACATTTTGATAAGTCTGCATAATGTGTGGTCGCAATGCTACGGGTTTTTTATGAACAACAAACATAATTGTCAGATTAATGAATGCGATCTCTTGAACTGCTGTATATAAATAATGCTATGATAAGTTAAAATGCAAGTTCTTACCAAAACAATGCCTATTTTGGCAACCACACGACACCCTTTCTATTAAACATTAAAATTATCTCACATTTTGTTTAATTTACAATAAGCATCGTACAGAGACAACACATGATGTGCTGTTAGCAGGCCACACCAGCGTTTTCCATTAGCATCCTAAAAGAGTTGTTGCATTAATTTTAGTCTTACAGTTTTACATTCAAAGTTTTACCATATTCACCAATATTAATCTGATTTTCTTCTTCTTTTTTTGTAACATTCTAGTAAGCTTAAAACAGTTTTATACAATATAATAATCAAGAACTTGTATTTACATTTTTGGTTGACCCACATTCACTATAAGGCTGATTAAACAGAAGTGTGTCACCAACTATTTGTCCATAACAGTCAGGATCCATCATGTATATGTCAGAGTAATTGACTTGTAGGTTTGCCATTTTTAATAATGTGATGTTGATTGCTGCTCCCCATCTATTCACTTCACAGTTCAGGGACAACAGATCTTTGAAATCAAATGCTGAAAAACAAACAAATTATTCAGATGATTTGCGCTCAAAAATAATTAAATATATCAAAATACATTACTATGTTTTCAATTATTTCAAGGTAAATGACTCCTTAATAATAAAGTGAACAAAATAGATATTTCTGCTTTAAACAAATCTGCGTGCGGAGGTAACACAGTTATTTCAGTTTCTCACCTCCAATAAAATAAGTAGAGAAACAGTTATTTAATATAAAATATATATTGAGTTCAAATGAATGATAAGGTGCAACAAATGCAATACGATTCAGTAAACAATTGTGGCACAAAAAAGAAAATCTAAAAATTCCATCGTACTATATTTTTACATGCAGAAGATGTACTAACGCACATTTGTGTTGAACAACTAAATAAGAATCTTGATTGGTGCTATGGCACATTATAAATAATTACAAAAAAAGAACATCTATGAACATACGAAACGTCATAGTGTGACAATGGCCCTCAAGTAAAACTTTCTTGTCTATACTTTAATAATTTATAATTTTAAGCTTTTTTGTTTGTTTCTCTGATAAAGAATTATTCTCAAAGATGCTCACAAAATGTATTTCGTACGGCAACACTTAAACAATAGAATAAAGAAACAACATTAAACGAATTTTCCTTTTAATTGATCCGTTGGTAGCCTTTTCAAACGCCCTACATCTGCGTCTGACCAATACTCTCTCTCTTTCAGTGTCAGCAACTTCTTGTCCAGCTTGTTCGAGTCACTTTTTAGAACTCGCGTACTGGATTTATTATTTGTCCATGAAATGTTTGCAAATCAATGTTAAGGCAACAACAATTATTTATATTTTAACATGTAATGGCGTTACATATTTGCATATACATCATAACAAAATGCCGAGAAGTTGCTACATAATCATATTTTCTTTACTTATTTTTCAAAATAAAATTGTTTCCATCAACATTCATGGATGTTGAACATATCATGTCATGTATGATTTTGAACTAAATGTCAATAAGATCAGTTAATATCCGTAAATAAACTTAATGGCGATAAGTACGATGAAAATCCGTATGTAAAATAATGGCGATAACTACTGTTAAAATTCGTAAATGGCATAATGGCGATACACACAGTTAAAATAGTTAAATGGATATAGTGGTGTTGCGTACAGTCATAATCAGTTTTAAATAACTTAATAGCTACACGTACAGTTAAAATCCGTAGATACCCTTAATGGTGATGACTTTGGTTAAAATACGTTAATACACTTGATGGCGATAAGTACATTTTTTTCTACAATCAAAAACCGAAAATAAACTCATTGGCGTTACGAACGGTTGTACTAGGTTAATTGTGCGAAAAATAATAAAATTCAGATTTTGTAATTATGAACTGGCATATTTTCATTGCTAATTGTAAAATTGCAGCTCGAAAAGAGAGAAGTTTTTTTTTACGCCCGGTCCTATATAAATAACTAATTTACTGAAAAAGATTGATAAGAAATGAGGAAGAAATTTGACAATATATCACATTTAAACAGTCACATAATTGTCACATTTGAACTGTCACTTAATTGTCACATTTGAACTGTCACTTAATCGTCACATTTGAACAGTCACTTAATCGTCACATTTAAACTGTCACTTAATCGTCACATTTGAACAGTCACTTACTCATTTGGTTGAATAGTATTTTTCAAAGTGTTGATAAGCTAATTACTGTTGTGATTGTTTCTAAAAAAAACCTAGAGGCTCTAAAGAGCCTGTGTTGCTCAAATAGGTCTATGTGCATATCCAACATTGTAGACGAAAATAGAATTCATAACAAAAATCTCTTTTTTGTTGATCTTGTATTGCTGATCGTTTTGTCTGTTTAAGTTTCTCTCTATCTTCTTTAATTTTTACTCAAAACACAACAGAGGGTACAATAATCTTCATATAAAGGCAATCACTTTTATAAATATTTATCAAAGGTACCAGGATTTTAATTTAATACGTCAGACGCGCGTTTCGTCTTCCTAAGACTCATCAGTGACGCTCAGATCTAAATAGTTATGAAGCCAAACCAGTACAAAGTTGAAGAGCATTGAGGACCCGAAATTCCGAAAAGTTGTGCCAAATACGGCTAAGGTAATCTATTCCTGAGATAAGAAAATCCTTAGATTTACGAAAAATTTAAAGTTTTATCAACAAGAAATTTACTTAAATGACCATATAATTGATATTCATGTCAACACCGAAGTGTTGACTACTGGGCTGGTGATACCCTCGGGGACGAAACGTCCACCAGCAGTGGCATCGACCCAGTGGTATAAATAGATTTTAAAGGTACTAAAAAGAGTGACCTTCTAACATCTGGATGGGAAAAAATTAACCTATTTGTAGATCTTGCCTTGCTGATCATTTTTGCTATTCAAAGTTTCTATCTATTTATTATAATTATTAAGATATAAGGCAACAACGCCAAAAAACGGTCAAAAACGTCATCAAAGGGCAATTACTCTTAGAAGGAGTCGACTGGTGATTTCGACTATGGGACTTAATTCATGGTCTCGTCTTGGTAATGTTTTTTGCAATATATATATATGATATAGTTTTAGAGATGATAGGCAAAAATTAAAAAAATGGTAAAATTTGTCATTTAAAGGCAATAATTTATATAAGAAGTCCCCTGACAGTCTTGACGTAATTAGTAAATTGGCAGAGCTCAGTAATAGTTATCCCATGAGGACACGCTGTGTCAGTGTTAGATCACCCCGATGGTTGGAGGCCGGAGGGTGATCGTCCACTGACACACCAGTCCGAGTTGGATAACAATTTTACATCCCAGCTCTTTTAAGACTGTACAAAAAAAACGTTTACGCTTCATGAAATCTCGTTCAGAACACCATACAATAATTATGATATGCTCTATATAGTATATACTCTTTATGATTCCCGGATACAATGTTTAAATATGTTAAATTAGCAGTGAGTTTGAATCCAGTCGTCCTGGTGTAGGGGTATGAATCGTGGCTTCATATGCTTAAAGTCTTGAGTTGGATTCCCAGCATAGACACTGGCAATTAAATGAATGTTTATGCCCCGCCTACAATAGTAGTGAGGCATTATGTTTTTCTGTCTGTTCGTTCGTTCGTTCGTTCGTTTGTTTGTTCGTCCGTCCGTCCCGCTTCGGGTTAAAGTTTTTGGTCAAGGTAGTTTTTGATGAAGTTGAAGTCCAATCAATTGGAAACTTAGTACACATGTTCCCCCAGATATGATCTTTCTAATTCTAATGCCAAATTAGAGTTATGAGACAATTTCACGGTCCACTGAACATAGAAAATGATAGTACGAGTGGGGCACTTGTGTACTATGAACACATTCTTGTTTCTACATTTTTGAAAGTTAGTCTTTATGTCACATAATGCGGAAAAAAATATAACCAAGTTTTAATGTGTGTTCGACATTCCCGCCAAAATGTTACAGAACAAAAGAAAGCATGCAGAACAAAGAAACTCAACGTAGGGTGATCTGGTAGGGGTAGATTTTCTCTAATTATAACGGTTTTCACAATAATAGACAAAACTTGCATTTTATACCTATGTTCTATATTTACCCATGTCGGTTATCTTTGTTGGAAATCGGGGTTATATGACACTTTTTTAAAACTAAATACCCAAATGATGATTGTGGTTAAGATTGGTTTAATTTGGTCAATTAGTTTCAGAAGAGACGACTTTTGTAAAAGTTAAGGGACGATGGACGACGACTGACGCCACGTGATGAGAAAAGCTCACCTGTCCTAAGGGCTAGGTATGCTAACAAGGATGTTACGATGTAAACACATCATTACATATATATATAGCTCTTTATTTGAAATATGGCAGATTAAAAAAATCAAAAGTAATCTAATTTTTTCGAAATCTTTTTGATCCATTCAACAGATATCTGGGATAGTAATTGTACAATTAGAACACATGGCTCAGAAACATCAATAACGCGAACGATATATTTTTTTATGCTATAATTTTAAACCACGAATGTAAAAATCGGTGACATTTTATCATATTTGACGACTCTATCTTTCATTAAATGAATCTGTATATGCGTCATATAGTTTTTTTAACAAATTGTTTATGTCGAACTAAGCAAACACATGCTAGATATAACATAGCCTTAATTTATCTTCAAATCAAGACATTTATATGTAAAGAGACAAAAAAGGAACAAAAACAATACATAGTTATTTCCAGAGCTAAGTGAACAAAGGTAGATGTGTGATAAACGTCAATGCGACAGCAACTCAACGCCAAAAACAAGTGGATTTTGCATATAATGCTGCTAATTGCATTATATAAAGCATGATAATAATGCTACAAAACAAGGAAATTTCATGTTAACAGGAGTATTTCTGCATATTCTTTTTAAAAGATTAAAGAGAAAACTCACTTCCCGGCTGTTTGGAACCCTAAATAGACGTTTTCACTATATGTCAAAAGCGAAACACGATTCATTTAAAAACACATTTAGTTTACTAAACAAAAATGTTTACTTCTCCAAACATTGTTGAAATCTTATGCCACTTACGAGACCAATGGAGTTTGAAACCTCTTGCTGATTTCTGACCATTTGTCTTGAATCTTATCCAAAACTGATTGGATAAAGCCACAGGGATATATGATGACACGGAATATTTTCCTAGTTCCTTTCCAAAGGGTGAATCTTTTATCTACAATACAACGGAGATATAATGTACTTCAATTTTTTTTTTTTAGTAAAAGAAACTAAGATATATAAAATCATTCCGGTACATAGAATTAGGTTAATCGTGCAAATGGTTTACATTGCATTTGAGTTTGAAATATATAGAAGTAAAAGAAAACCAATAAAACAAACAAACAAACAAACAAACAAACAAACAAACAAACAAACGAACAAATAAACACAAACAAACAAACGATACGATATATCTGAAATATGTCTTTCAAAAGATAAATGACCAAAATTATAGAATCCCGTATATCTTAACCCTTTTCAAACATTGTAAAAGTATAATTTGTAGCATTACGTAGGTTAAGGGTATAAGGTAGTACATTTTTATGATCTAAAATAGCGTACATAACATCGATTTAATATGGAATAGTGCATATTAGTGTCGAGTTTAGGTGTCCAAAGATATGTAAATTATAAATGGTTTGAATTCCATCTACTGTAATCAAAAATGCATTTTTATTATTTTAATGCAGCTTTTGACAATTAATGACATTACCATAGTCCTTTTTTGTCTTTGTTTATGAAGATACCGAGAATAGATTTGAATAATAAAACTTAATATATTTTTTCTAAATACGATTTTACCCCTTGAATCGTCCGTATTGTTATAGTGTTTAAGAATGATAAGTATAGGTTTCATAACTAGTGAAAATGAGATATCGCTTGATATCAACTCGAGTTATTTAATTACAATATAAAAATAAACGAGCTTTGTCCAAGTTTATATTCAATTTGTTACTATTTGAATTAAATAACGAGAGTTTTTATCAAGCAATATCCAATTCTCAAGAGTTGTTAAAAACCTATTTCTCTTATGGCAAACATTCTCATTGTGTTAAATAAAAAAATCAACGAATCGTTATTGCACTTGCATACAAATATGACGTCATATATTTAGTTCCTGCATCAAATCTTTAAGCATCAGACATTTTATAACTTTTTGTACGCTTCAGAATGTATTAAAATTGAACAAATTAGCAGATTTTCAGATGAAAAGTGTGATTATATTGTATATAATTGAAAAAATCACATATCTCCGTTGCCATTAGTGAAATGTACATCTTCTAAATCTTCGAAAATCATCAATGACAAAACGAATAGCTAATAGAAATGTCGCTGTATCGTCGAATGATGCTGGATAAGCCAATCAATTTATTTTTAACTAATTTGTCGTATCATTTGTTCGTATCACACACCTAGCAATGTGGTACGAGAGTTATCTCTTTATGGGGGAAATAAATAACGGGCAACAACCATAAGAAAATACAGGATATTCAAAACAAAGAAGAAATGCAAATTAGTGAAAAGATCTATATGATAGTTTATATGCATACCAATTCTAGCACGTTAAACATTTACAAAAGCTTTGAATACTTTTGGACATTGAGTGATTGTCGCAGTTGGTTGCTGTCTGTAATATTAGTTTGTCGTAAAGTGTTCTGTCATAAATCAGGTCGTGTTGTTTTTATCGTTTGAATTGTGTTACGTTTTAAAGAGGACGATACGGTATAGGGTTTCCCAGTGTTGTAGGCAGTACGGTGAACTATAGATGCTTAAATCCACCGTCATTAGGACTCTGTTGTAAAGTTGGCTCATTGTCAATCATACCACATCTCCTTTGTCAATAAGAACAAATAATATCATTTGTACATGTACCTTAACTCATTGCGACAACTCGTTTCGATAGTTAAACAATGCAAAAATGTACACTTGTCAAGGAATGCACTTTACACAACGTGAAAGTAAACAAAACTAAATAGTATGCTTCAATTACATATAAAAAATCTCCTGGCATTCATTAATATAAGCAACTGTAAGTTGTCAATTAACTGTATACAAGAAGGATTACCTGGAGGAAATCACCTGTGTCCGCCATTTGAAAGACATCAACTGAAAGTGTGTAAAGACCTGGAGGTGGTTGTATGATGTACAAACAATCCGTATTCGGATTATAACGACCAGGATAGTTATCAGACATGACCGTACCAGTTGCAGAGTAATACTGTTGTACACAATCTAAATTGCAAAAATATATTATTTTCAAATACAAATAAGAGTCAATAAGGGAAAACGTTACACCAACATTTACTTTTCTTTAAAAAATGAAGTTCATTCAAAGTTATTTTTTTAACTATCTATTGTTATGCAAACATGAGGTTATGTTCTCATGTTTTACAAAATACAAGTTCTTTAGTGTCATAGAACATGTAGTAGAAATTAGCAGAACGACAGAAAGGGAATATCAAACTCATAAGTCGAAGACAAACTTTCAACAACATGGCAAAAAAAGAAAAACGACAAACAACTGTCTACCTAGAACTTTGAAAACGCCATAGTTTCTGAAAATGATACAACGAAAGAAAGGTTTGTATCCTCCACTGAAATGTAAAAAAAATTGTTGCAAACTGTATTCATCTCGTGGAGATCTTTTTTGTCACACCCATTTGATAGACTTTTTTATTTTGTTCGTTTTTTCCCGTTGATTTATGATACTATTTATCTTGTATTATCATAGTAATTTCAATGTTTAGATCCCTTAACAGTACATTGTACTAACATATTTCTTTTTTTTTAACCATTTCATATACACCCATTCCTGTGTTTCCGTATATTGTTTTTGGTTTTTGTGTTCATTTGATAAAAATGGCTTACTAAAACAATATTGGGATTTTCATTTAGACTATTTTTGACAAAGTATAAGCATGACGATGTACATTTAATTTTGAGTTTTTGCATCGTTGCAGGATAATTATGGATACTTCATGTGAAGCAGCCAGTGTGTATTAATGTTTGTTATGTTTTTTCATTAGTATTCATTCATATTGTATTTACATAGAAATTGAGAAAACCTGACATTTCCAAACTTCACTCAACGCATGCTTTCATATTGTTTGTTGTCTTTCATATTAATAAATTAAACCAGTAATGCTATAAATATTCTTACCAAAACATTTCAAATGAGCATAACGATGATGACAGGATGCTGTTTTTGAAATTTGACACTGAGCTATATGATCTTCCAATCCGCTGCATGTCAACTGATCAATTCCAAACGTTGCCCGATGCATTTCTAAGGAAGGCAAGTGATATAAGTAGGGTAGGGTGTCCCTAAAATACAAAAAAAAAAAAAAAAAAATAACGTCAACAATTGCTCAAGTTTTCCTCTCGAATGTGTTATCTTTCATTTCCCTTTTCCCTCTTCTTTAAATCTAGCTGACTTCCATAAAAAAGCTAACCAAACCTTTAAACAGACTTATTCAGAAGGACAAAGTTACAATACAGTTATGAGGTCGTTAAAGATGGCATATTTTGGTACTGATATTGATTCCCTCAAATGGTCTTTGCATCGGAAATAAACACATTTATTCTAAAACCAGTTGTTGGTATGATACGGGTTATGTTTTTCTCATATATTTTATGATGATATGATACTAAAACCTTAACGGGAGGGATTGTGCTTGATTTTCATATGATTAAGACATAATCTTTCGATCACTTTAATTGAGGTCTGGAGCTGGCATGTCAGTAACTGCTAGTAGTCCTTTGTTAATTTATGTATCATTGTCTTCTTCTTAGTTTATTTTGTTACCTATTCTGAAATCGGACTCAGACTTATTTTATACTGCCTTTTACTGTGTGTATTGCCTTGTGTTTGTTTATTCTACATTGGCTAGAGGTATAGGGGGAGGGTTGTGATCTCACAAAACATATTTAACACCTCCGAAATTTTGCGCCTGTCCCAAGTCAGGAGCCTCTGGCCTCTGTTAGTCTTGTATGTGTTTTTGATTTTAGTTCATTTATATGTTTTGGCGTTTAGTGTGACTTCCATTTTCATTGAACTAGTACATATTTTTGTTTAGGGCTTAGCTGAAGCTCGCCTCCGGGTACGGAATTTTCTCGCTGTGTTGAAGACCCATTGGTGTCCTTCTGTTGTTTTCTGCTCTTTGATCCGATTGGTGTCTCTTTGACACATTCCTATTTCCATTCTCAATTTTATTTCACAAATGGACACAACGATTTATTGTAGACAATATTCATTCGTATTTTCGATTGTAGTTTCAACCGGCACGTACAGTCGGAATTTTGCTTCAAGTACATTGACGTTCACATTGACGTTCACATTGAGGCGCATACATACAAAATGTGGCGGGGTTAAACATGTTAACGGGATCTAAACCCTCCCCCTAACCTGGGACAGTGGTGTAACAGTACAATATAAGAACGAACTATAAAAATCAGTTGAAAGAGTTTACTTTTATCGATTTTTGTAACGATTTATTAGAAGATTAGAAAACACTCAGACACATTTAAACGTGCAACGTGAGGTCAAATATATAATACAATCTATGTAAATAACATGACGGAAAAAAAAATTAACATATAAAAAATCAATGCACATAGCTCATTAGCATCAAACAGTGTGAATAATTTTTTCAAATAGATACACAACATATATCATGTATATGGATCGATATGACATAAATCAAAGAAATACATTAACTTTTCTGATGAACAATGATAGCTTTTTGCATAGTTCAGTATTACAATAGGAGAGTAAAACTTCAAACTTGAGAATGCTCGCTCAAGCTGTGTATTTGTTTCTTAATGACACAATATTTTAATTTTTGCATATAAACAACCACGTCCGATTAAACACATTAAGTATCAATAAGTGATATTCCAAACAAAACTGGTCACATAAAATTTGTTTCACAACAATTTTATCACAAAATGCAAGCTGCTTTTCAAAAATGTAACTGTATCAAACTTCGTGAAAAATAGCTTCTACACATTTAATCCATTTGAGTTTATATTGAGTTTTAATTTGAAAGGATAACATCAGTTGATATAAAATACTACTTAGTTTTTAATCACCTTGTACAAGTATTGTCAAGAATGATACCATTCTACGTTTAACTTTAATTTGAGGGGAAATCTCCCAAGTTCACCTAAACCCATAAAATTTGGCAAAGTGTTCCTTACTTTGAGTACTCTTTTACAAAACTTCAAATGAATTTGTTCGATAGTTTAAAGGTTTTTGTAGCCCCAAATTTGGGAACCATACAATAAAATTGCTTCTATGATCGAGTCAAATAACTTAAATTGGATATCAACAGGTAAAGACTCGTTTCTGATAAGTTTATAAACACAAACAAAATGCCTTTTCTGCTTGTTCTATAAGTTTTGTCTCAGTCTCAATAAATGTACCATTATATTTATAAATAACTTCTAGGTAAGGATATCGATCTACAATATCAAGAATTTGACCTTGTAATATAAAACTGAAATTGTGGTTTACTTTTCTTTTAGAAAAGATAATAACCTTGGTTTTATTTACATTTACTTTTAGTTTCCACAATGAACAATGAGACTGAAATATATCAAAAGCTTTTTGTGAACCATCTTTACTCTCTGCTACGATGACTGTGTCATCCGCAAAGAATATCAGAAAAATTTATAAAACTGTAATTCACTCTCAAGTTTCTCTTTGATCCTTTCAAACGGCAGTCCATCTAGCAGACAAAAATAGTCTTCACGATCATTTAAAAAGGTCGAGAATAGAAAAGGCGATTAATTCCCCCCCTGTCTAACACCTGTTGGACAATTGAAGAATTCTGACTGACAGTCATTAAACTGAACACAAGACTTTATTCAACTGTTCATATTATACACATGTTATACACAACTTTAAAACATTTCCCTTGAATTTCACTTTTTTGTAATTTTGTCAACAACCCTGTCCGCCAAACAGTATCGAATGCCTTTCTAAAATCCAAAATGTACAAAAGAATTTCTTCCAAAAGAAGTGTAAAGTTTAACAAGTGCGTATAATACAACAATATTATCTTGTGAAGAATATCCCTTACGAAATTCAGTCTGGTTCATGGATGTAATATTCAGTTCATTTGCAAAAATATTCAGTCTAGTATTTATAATGGACATGAAAAGTTTCCCAAGGCAAGTGATGAGAGTAATTGCTCTATATTTATCAGGATCAATTTGGCATTCCTTGTTTTTGAAAACTGGTTTAATGATACCAGAAGTTCAATTTTCAGGTATATAACCTGTATTCACAATGAGATTAAACAGTTTACAAAAAATAGATACTAGACTAGGAGGCGAATATTTCAAATATTCGTTCAATATTTTGTCCAAGCCCTGCTTTATTTTTTTTTTAAATCTATTATAGCTTCGCTCACTTCCAGTTTAGTTAGGACGCCGTTTTCAAGATTTCATCACAAATTGGATTATTTCAAACATCATTTATATCAAAGTCCTTATCAGCATTATCGATCATATCATATACAGCTTCCAATTTATAATTAAACTACATGCGTATCTTGTCAATATCAGTACTATCTCAATTATCCCTTTTATATGGGCATTTTCACAGTTATTTGGAAACAGCTTACCTGTACCCAAGCGTATTGCATAGCACTTGTAATTCTGAGAGTCCAAAATTCTTGTCGCACAGACTTCCCCATTGTCCATTCTCTTTTATATCGATTCGACCATCAGCTGGTGACGATCCCCCGGAAAGTCTAACTTCGATTCCTCCTTTGATTTAAATCAGAAAAATAATTGTGGCGAGGAGTTCACAAGGATAACATCAAACAGTATAATATGTTTTATATCCATATATATAAAATGTTACGCAAAGCGATGATTTTTTAGAAATAATGTATATTAGAGAGATTAAGTATTTCTGTACTAGACATCCCTTGTAGGAATATTTAAGTAAGGAAGCGTACAGATCGAAGTTTTCCTGGATGACTTTATAGTCATATACGTAAGTGATGATAAGATTTTATACATTTTCTCCGTCCGAAACGCTTTTATTGATATTCTTTCATCAGGAATGCTAAAATCATAAATTTGAAAGCCCAAAAAGTGTGAACTAACGCGTGACAAAAATAAATATGTACTAAGTATCATCCTGGATGACAATATCAGCATTATCAAGATAAAGGAGCGATTTATTTGTTACACCAAAGAAAAAAGGTCTTTTATCTTACACAAGCTACCAAACTACTGCGTGTAATACACGTGTAGTGTATTTTGCACATTGAAATCGTCAGAATACCAATTACTAGTATTTTTATAATATATTATAATATTATTAAATTTTCCCATTTTATTCGATCAAAATCTGAAAATAGCGATTGTTAACTGAAGACTGTTGCTCTGGACATATTAAAAGAATTAATATGAAAAATTCTTCAAATTTAATAATTTGTTAAGACGCGCGTTTAGCCTTCAATACCAGTTGCGCTTGAATCAACACAGCTGGACGGACAAATCAAAATTTAAAATGTCTAAGTTAAAGAGCATTCAAGAGAGAATATGGATCTTTGAAATATAAATAGAAGTTTATTTGCAGAAAAAATCCAGTAGCTGATATTTTGTTTGAAAAGGTATGCAGATGGTTGTGAAATTGGTTTCTCCTTTTTTAAACTCCCAAATGTTATACGTCCACATCTCCTTAACGTTATATGATCTTATATTCTTAACAGTAGTTAATGTACCTGAGCAGTCAATGTTTACGATGTCATCATTACATTGCGACTTATCGAGGTCACCTTTACAGAATCCGATATCATTTTCAACTCCAAGGCAGTCTAAAGATCCAAGAACAACGGCTGTGCCATTCCTTTGTATCGTGTTTGTCTCAATGGTACGATTTCTGCAACAACAAAATAAGTCGTAACATATAAAGTTGTAGTCGAGATACTTCTTATTTTATTATATTCCTATTATGCATACTTTCCAGTTATCTTTCGAATGATGTATACCTGAGAAATGATTTTATATAAGATTAATACCCGAAAAGAGTCATACGTTTAGACATCAGCGATGTTTCATTTTAAATATCTTACTGGTAACCCAACATTCTGCAAACGGCTTTTGAGTTCTGTGATGTCCATTGTTCTGAACACACGGTGCCCCATTTTCCGTTATACTTTATTTCAAGTCTACCATTGCCCTTTGATTGACCTAGAGTAAGTCTAATTTTATCAAGACCTGCAACAAAAGGAGAACTGTTATTTATGGAAAGGTAAATACATAAATCTTATTAACTTTAAGGTGGAGAATCGGTATATATTTCCTACGATAGAATTTTCTCACTCTTTCCCAAAATTTAGATTTTACCAAACTTAAAAAAAATATAATAAAAGTTATAGATCACCGTGTTATTTTTCAAACTACAAGTCGTGCAAACGATAGTGCATGACTAAAACGCTATTTTGTTAACATAAATAATCTATGACATAGAATTTTTGAAATAAAATATGAGAAGATAGGTTTTATAATATGTTTTTAGAAAACAAACAGATACATATAATGTCACCGATCTTGTTTTCTTGCTACATGTTAAATTTTTTTTTTTTCAATATTTCTTTAACGAGTTTTACTATTAGAGTTACCTCCCCTTAAATGGCTCAGTTGAAAAATGATTCAAACACAAACAAACTTTTAGTTTTTGATAAACCAGTGTTAATACTGCAATGAATAACTTTTTTTCTTTTTTTGTAACAAACAGACTTACACATTAATTGCCAATCTGTCTCAAAATTTGAAGTTTTGGGCAAAGAATTAGACCGATTGTATACTGCTATTTTACAATCCACGATTGAAGCATACGTTGTATTTACCTTAAACATATATTTACTGTACCAAATGTGGTCTATTAATTATTTACCTCGGAAATGAGAACAAACATATATTTGATGACTGAGGAAGAACAGTTGTACGTTACGCTGCAGTCAGAAAAAATCCAAGAACTCAACAATGACGTTAAACAGTTCTCGTTTGAAATTTACCTAGTGGTGTGGCTACACACTGAACACCTACATCCTCAGTATGCTGACAATTTTGTTTTCCGAAAGTATTCTTTAGAGGACAAAAAAAAATCTTTGATTCTTTTCCTGAGCATTCTGTCTGTAGATCAAATGATACTCCATTTCCTTGACCAAACCATGCATTTTTGTAGAGTATTGCTGTGTTCATCCTGAAACAATAATCTTAAAATGTTTAATACAAGTTAGTTTAAATACCTTGTACTCCTATTTTTTGTTTGTGATTATGTACCAGATCTGCTCTAAAGTACAGTCGGTTTTACAAAAACACTTTCATGTTCATTTTAAGAACTTAAGTCATTTTCTGTGCTGATTTTGTTGTATTGACTTTTATGCATCTTTCCACTTTAAAATAGATGAAAAAGAAGATGTGATATAATATTATACATCCAACGAATTTAGTTTAGTGACGGCATACACAGTCTGAGATGACCTTGTGCGATGCCAAAATATAAGAAAACAGGTTGTGAGATCATGAGTTCTGCACATACATATAGCGATATATATATTCAGTTATGGTTTTATTTTTACAAACCAAACCAATGTTAATACCAATAATAAGAATATTAAAAGATTTTATACCTGTATTAAATTGATATTCTTTAAGAATAAGTTTATTCAAGGAATAAACTAGTTTACATGATTGTATACCATAAGCGAGGATTAAAATGGAGATAAATCAGAAAATATTGCTTTCAAATCGCCTGATACCAACGTGCTTGTTTCAGTTTTTCGATATTATTATTATTATCTTTATTATTATTAGTAGTAGTAGTAACAGTAGTAGTAGTATTACTATTGTCAGTATTATCATTTAATTTTTATTGTTATTATTATTATTATTATTATTATTATTATTATTATTATAATTATTATAATAATTATTATTATTATTATTATTATTATTATTATTATTATTATTATAATAATAATTATTATTATTATTATTATTAGTATTATTATTATTATTATTATTATAATTATTATAATAATTATTATTATTATTATTATTAGTAGTAGTATTATTATTATTATTATTATTATTATTATAATTATTATAATAATTATTATTATTATTATTATTATTATTATTATTATTATTATTATTATTATTAGTATTATCAATATTATTATCTATTGCTATATAATTGCAAGGAATAGTGATCGTTTCCTCAATCAATCGGATTATTATTAATTTATTTATTGATGATTGCTTTATACATATTGTAATGTGAATTAAGAATATGTGCAACACGACGTGTGCCACATTGGAGCAGGATCTGCCTATCCTTCCGGAGCACCTAATATCACCCCCAGTTTTTGATGGGGTTCGTGTTGCTCAGTCTTTGGTTTTCTATGTTATGTTTTGTATTTCAGTGCTCTGCATAGCTTGCCTGTTAAAAGATTTTTAGAACACTAAACGTGCCATTTTAAATACTAGATTACTACGGAAAGGTCATGTGTAAACACAATGTTTCAACATTGGTTCACAAGTTTTATGTTGTTATATTAACAGTTAAATATAGAGATATGCATGGTTTTTATTTGGTTAAAGCAATGTTAACATATATAACACGACAATTGATTGTAGATATTTTCATAGTCATCCTTTCGTACTTATAGCATAATTTAAAGTTTCTATAGTCATTAATTATTTTTGTTTTATATTATCCATTTGTGTTTTGGGAGAATAAACTTGGTTTGCAGTACGCTCTTTGGTAGTTTTCTCCTGTGCTGTCGTTAAAGGGAGATGTCCGTTGTTATTCTGCAGTTTACATTATGTAATGTACTATTATATATATTATTTATTTACGCATTTCTAGTTGCTGAATGTTCTTGCGTTTGTTTTTACTGTAATCCTGTCACGTTATGTTGTCATTTTAGCGATATGTTTTTTTAACATATATAAGCGGGAGGTTTGGCTAGTCATAGTCTTAAGATGTCCTTTACCAAGTCAGGAAAATGACATTTGCTATCAAATAGTCCGTTTCTATGTATGTTGACGTTTGTTTTTGTTGCAGTTCAGTATTTCTGTTGTTCGGTTTTACTCTTATACATGTTATAGTTGATGTGTTTTCCTCGGTTTTAACTTGTTACTCGGATTTGTTTTCTCTTAATCGGTTTTTGACTTTTAAATAGCGGTAAACTACTGTTCCCTTTATTCTGTATACTTTATATACATTGTACATTGGTCAATAAGATAACACAAATCCTAATATCGTATAGGGAGGATGCTGTTTCATTGGGTCATTGGCGTATACCAAACATGCCGTATATTCCTATCGAAAACGAACAGTAACAATATTCCTAACCGTACACTAGCCTAAGTCCGAGAGTGTAAGTCCTCAGATTGGCATATAATCAGAATAAAACTTACATGCAAGGGTAAAGATAATGATGTCGCTGTTTTTTTTTATTAAATACTGGTTCAGATTTTAATAAATACAATTAATTATATGTTTAATATTACGAAATCTTATAAAGGTACGTATCTAACATAATAAGCATTCTGTAATACATAATTTCTCATCGACTTCTTTTGTTCAAAACGGTTTGATCAATTCTAATTACATGTGTTCTTTTCGCAATTTCTCTTGAAATATCTGTAAAGGATATAAGCAGATAACAGTCCATTCTGTAAAATATTGGACAGTCCAATATCTTACAGAATGGACTGTTAGAGGCTTATATCTTCCTTAAAACATTGTTTATCATGTCAAAAGGTGAAAAAGCAAACAAATACAAACTCATGTTCAGATTTATTTTCATCAAGTGTGTAAATTGGGTTGTGGATAAACTTATATACACTATCCTACATGTTGGTCTCTTTAAACAGTAGCTCAACTTAAACAATAGACAAACATAAAGTACAGTTGAAGGTACACAACATGTATTGCTACATGTTCATGAAGACACGGTGTATGCGTATCATGATTTTCGTGTGCGCTAGGACTACGTACTTTAAATATATTTTTCGTGAATACCTTCACATGCTTTTGGTGTCTCAAAATGGATAAAGACGATGAAAGTACATTCTTAATGCCAAAAAAAAACAACGAAGAAAGTGATGTCGTTATTAGTGAGTGTGTTTCAAACTTGGGATTAACATCAAATGTGTATTCAGATATATTCGATTTCAGTGGGGACAACGAAGATGATATAGTTATAGCAGCTAATAATGGTAAGTTTTATATTTATATATTAAATTGCAGTCCTCTCCTTTTACTTCCATTTTTCTTCTGGGGTTTTATTTCTTAGGTGAATGAGAAAAAAAAAAGAAAAACATGTGAAGACAGATTCACGTTGAAAAAAAAAGGTTCAACCATATCAATTGCCCCACTCTCGATTTTATTTCAAATATAACACTATAAAATATAATGAATGGGGACAACTAAAGAGATACCAAGCGTGCATCAATTTAAATTCTTTTGTTGTTCATCGGAATTTTCAAATCTTATATCATTTCAATGAATTTTAAGAGAATTATGATCCAAATATTATATCTTTTATTTGACAAAAAAATTAATATTATAGTTAAAATATATAAATTCACCGCCATGAATTGTCCGGAGATCAATAAATCGATTTAACATATTCACCTACTATACATGAAAAAAATTAAAAAAAAGTCTGAATTTAAAACAACGTTCAAACCTATGATTGCGTTGGATAAAAACCGCAATTGTTATACGTGTGAATGTAAAACAAATTTCTTGGTAAATGGGTCTAAATACAGCACAAACAACAATTTCCAAAAGTCCAAAAAAAGTGAAAAAGTCTAATTTAACAAAACGCATTTGACTAACAGGTCGAACAACTGATGTTCTTAAACCCTGCTGACTGCCATTGGCGATTGACAAAAAAATTGATCACCATATCTAACAAAATGGATCTTAATATTAATTTAATAACAAACAGAAAACAATAAACTTGTGGAAAAGATGGTATACCACAAAAATGAGGTGCACAAATGTGTACACCATATCCGGATTTCGACAATAAATGTCTCTTCAGTGATGTTAGGGATCGAAACGGTATTTGGAAGGCCATATAATTTACCTCCATTTAGGACTGACTCTTGAATTTTAAAAAGTCAAAATAGGATGAACGGGTCATATAAAACCCGAAGGAAACTATAATACAAGCCATGAACAAAATATATATTCACCATTTTCCCGTATGACAGAAAGACGCAGGCATCCTCTCCCCTTCCTCGATCAGTAAAATTTATCTCGACTCAGTGGTAGTCTTGCAAGAGACGGTAACCGTTATAGTTTACCCAAACGGTACCACCTGAATACCCCCCTTTTGTTCTCTTTTTTTTCTGCAAGGTCGTGTCGCTCTTCTTTTCTCGTTCATTTGCGTCTTGAAGTCCCTTTGGATTTTTTCATGTTCCCGAAACATTTTTTTTTCTAGATTTCACTTTGCTAATAACGTTTTTTTTTCTTCTTCTTCTTTAAAAACAAAGCATTGTACGTAGGTGTACATATCTCTCTTTCTGTGCTTAATGTATTGCATTCAATCAATTTTACCTATGAGATCTAAACTAAAGTGAAGTATCTGAAACTTTTTTGAAAGTACATAGGAAAGAAGCAAATGTAATTCGTATTTTGATGTTATATATAGTAAAATACTTTTATTAATTATCCCTTTTTCTATCAATTCAATGCAGGAAAGGGTTGTACGTTCAAATTGATATAACACAGTCACAATCTGTCTTAAAGCTATTCAACAAACATATGATCAAAGCTAGCACCTACGTGTATTTAATTTCAAGAGAGTACATCGGTTTAAAAAAAAACGATCACAACGAACACAGTGCGAAACGGACATATGATTGATTTATTTAACAGATAACCTGCGGTAAATTCTGCTTCCCATATTCATCGTCATTGATAAGCGAAGTTTTGCATTATATTCCAATACAAGCAGATTAGAAGAAAAAAAACATGTAAATCAACGTTGACACCTGAAAATTATAAAATCTATTGTAGTCCCCTAGTTCATGAAACAAGTTCTAGATTTGCACTTTGAACACATGTGAGTTTAAGGTTTTTAATCCAATTTTTGATCAGCTATTTTGTCCAAGACATAATATGTGGCTTGCACATCAACACTTGGTAAAACATTTACTTCAGATGAACGAGTTTCT